AAACCGGAAGAGCAGCTTCCAGGCATGCACATGCGCCAGAACCCGGAAGAACAATGGGTGGCGGCTGGCGTGCCTGGATGGGGGGCTCTGGTGCCATAGGTTCACCATCACGGCCGTGGATATAATTCATTTGGCCTTGAGAATTGGTGTTAGGTGTTCTTTATGCTCTGTTTGTCCTGAGCTGCAACTCCCTCTTTCCACCACCGGCCCCATGCTGGTCACCTCTGGCTCTGCCGCCCTTCTGCCGAGGGGAGACATTCTGCTTTCTGGCCATCACTTGCTACAGATTCATCCCATTCTCCTTGCAACAGGCCAACCGCATTCTGAGCTTCAGTCCTTCCTTCCATTCTCTACACTTTTCCCTCTTTCTTTTAGAAAGCTCTGCGTGTATCTACGATGCCTCCCATTTTTCCTTCCAGTAGGAAAAATCCTTGCCTCCCACTCGGAAGGTTGAGAGTTCAATCCTAGGCAGCGACAGATATTTCTCTCCTAGGGCACAAAGGGAAAAAAAAACATCTGTTGCAAACTCCACATGGCATCAGGAAGGACATCCGGCCAGTAAATACTCAGCTCCATCCAGTCACTCCGACTCCCCCCCCCCCCCCCCCAATTAAGCAATTAGAGAGTAAGTCCTGCCTTCCACCCTTGAGTTTTTCTTCAGGGAGGCCTCATCTACGTCTTTTTAAAATCAGTTTATACATTTTCTCCTTACATACATAAGCGCTTTGTGAACAGCATATTGGCTGGATCGATTTGCTTACATAATAGTACTTTTCCAGTTCCTAATTTCTAGCTCTATTATCCAACCATTGATAAAACAGCTCCCATGTTTGAAAATATTCTCTATCTTTTTCTTTTTTCTTTAAGGTCAGTCTGTCCATTTCTGCACAGTCTAGTATTTTTTTAATTACAACTTCTGTAGACGTTTTTTCATTTTTTCCAGTCCTGTGCACATACAATTCTCGCTGCTGTCAAAACATGTAATATTAAGTATATATTCCCTTTATCATAATTTTCTGGTGCTATACCTAACAGAAATATTTCTGGCTTATAATCTATATGCTGCTTGTAACATTTTTTCTAACCATGTATGTATTTTTGTCCATTTTTGTTTTGCTTTTGCACATGTCTACCATATGTGGTAAATATGTGCCTGGCATCTGAGCCTCCTCTAAGTCTTATTCAGCTTTCTGCATTAAAGCTGCTAGTTCTCTTTTCTCCCATATTCTGTACATTTGGACAGAGAAGTGGAATCCCGGAGCCTCAGAACATGAAGGGGCTTCTCACAGGGGCCTTCACATCCCAAACGTCTCTGTCCATGCCCAGGCTTGAGATGCTTCGTTTTCTGGACTCCCTTGTGCCTTAGACACAGTTTCCAATTGACAGCAGGTTTTGCAAGGTGACTTTCCAGGATATTCTTCCACCTCTCGTCAGGAGTCCCTGATCTCAGAAATAGAATAGAATAGAATAACAGAGTTGGAAGGGACCTTAGAGGTCTTCTAGTCCAAACCCCAGCTTAGGCAGAAAACCCTATACCGTTAGAGACAAATGGTTATCCAACATCTTCTTAAAAATTTCCATTGTTGGGAGCATCCACAACTTCTGGAGGCAAGCTGTTCCACTGATTAATTGTTCTCACTATCAGGAGATTTCTCCTTAATTCCAGATTGCTTCTCTACTTGATTAGTTTCCACCCATTGCTTCTTGTTCTACCCTCAGGTGCTTTGGAGAATAGCTTGACTTCTTCTTCTTCATGGCAACCCCTGAGATATTGGAAGACTGCTGTCATGTCTCCCCTAGTCCTTCTTTCTCTTAAACTAGACATACCCAGTTCCTGCAACCTTTCTTCATATGTTTTAGCCTCCAGTCCCCTAATCGCCTTTGTTGCTCTTCTCTGCACTCTTTCTAGAGTCCCCACATCTTTTTTTTGGGGGGGGGGGAACCAAAACTGGATGCAATATTCCAAGTGTGGCCTTAGCAAGGTTTTATAAAATGAGTGCTATTATGGAAGAAGAGGCTCCACAGTTGGGACCATCTGCGCAGGCAGTTGCTCTCTTCTGTCGTCTCTTCTTCCTTTGATAGAAATGATGAAGACCCCCCCCCCCCACACACACGGCTCCTTCCTGGACCATTCTGCCCAGCAATTCGTAGTCCCTTCGTGGTTATCTCTGGGGAGGCCACTGTTCTCATGCACTGGGAA